CTTTCTTTACAAGCCGGCTTTTTTGTGATATAACAACTTGTTTGGCTAAGAGATTAGTGTGAGTTCGAAAAAATCAGGTTTAAAAATGTCGTTGGCCGAAAGAGAACTCTTAAAATAGCAGTTCGTAAGAAGAGTATATTATAACCCAAAAAGTTTTATAAAATTCCGCGTTAAATGGGAAAAAAAAATATTTCTATAAAATTCCGCGTTTAATGGTAAAAAAATATGTTTAAAAAATATTTTTTATAAAAATCCACGTTTATTGGTTTATGAAAAAATTATATTTTTATAAAAATCCGCATTTGTTGCTTCTCGAAAATAATATTTTTATAAAAATACTCGTTTATTGGTTTATGAAAAAAAAAATATTTTTATAAATATTAAAATATTTTATTTATTGGTTCTCAAAAAAAAATTTATAAAAATCCACGTTTATTGGTCCATGAAAAAAATATTTTCATGTATAGTCACGTTTATTTATATTTTTAAAAAAATCACTTTTTTGGTTAATGAAAAAAATTATTTTTATAAAAATCCACGTTTATTAGTCCATGAAAAAAAATAAAGAAAATATTTTTATAAAAATCCAATTTTGTTGCTCCATAAAAAAATTTTATAAAAATCCACGTTTATTAATTCATAAAAAATAATAAAAAAAAAACAAATTTATTAATTCATAAAAAAAATTATAAGAATCCACCTTCATTAATTTATAAAAAATAATTTTATAAAAATCCACGTTCATTAATTTATAAAAAATAATTTTATAAAAATCCACGTTTATTAATTCATAAAAAAATAATTTAAAAAAAAAACAAATTTATTAATTCATAAAAAATATAAAAATCCACTTTCATTAATTTATAAAAAAAAATTATAAAAATCCACGTTCATTAATTTATAAAAAATAATTTTATAAAAATCCACTTTCATTAATTTATAAAAAATAATTTTATAAAAATCCACGTTTATTAATTCATGAAAAAAATATTTTTAAAAAATCCACGTTTATTAGTCCATGAAAAAAAAAATATTTTTAAAAAATCTACGTTTATTACTCCATGAAAAAAAAATATTTTTAAAAAATCCACGTTTATTTGTCCATGAAGAAATATTTTTATAAAAATCCACGTTTATTAGTCCATGAAAAAATATTTTTATAAAAATCCACGTTTATTGAACTAATAAAAAATATTTTTATGAAATTCTAACATTGTTATTCCTTAAAAAAAATATAAAAATCAACCGTGGTTGACCTATAAAAAAAATATTTTTATAAAAATCCAAAAAAAAATATTGGTCTATGAAAAAATATTTTTATAAAAATCCAAAAAAAAATATTGGTCTATGAAAAAATATTTTTATAAAAATCCACGTTCATTGATTCCTTGAAAAAGAAATATTTTTATAAAAATCCACGTTTATTGGTTCTACAAAAAATATTTTTTATAAAAATCCACATTTATTGGTTCTACAAAAAATATTTTTTATAAAAATCCATGTTTATTGGTTCTACAAAAAATATTTTTTATAAAAATCCATGTTTATTGGTTCTACAAAAAATATTTTTATAAAAATCCACGTTTATTGGTTCTACAAAAAATATTTTTTATAAAAATCCATGTTTATTGGTTCTACAAAAAATATTTTTATAAAAATCCACGTTTATTGGTTCTACAAAAAATATTTTTTATAAAAATCCACGTTTATTGGTTCTACAAAAAATATTTTTATAAAAATCCACGTTTATTGGTTCTACAAAAAATATTTTTATAAAAATCCACGTTTATTGGTTCTACAAAAAATATTTTTATAAAAATCCACGTTTATTGGTTCTACAAAAAATATTTTTATAAAAATCCACGTTTATTGGTTCTACAAAAACTATTTTTATAAAAATCCACGTTTATTGATCCATCAAAAAATATTGTTATAAAAATCCACGTTTATTGATCCATCAAAAAATATTGTTATAAAAATCCACGTTTATTGATCCATCAAAAAATATTTTTATAAAAATCCACGTTTATTGATCCATCAAAAAATATTTTTATAAAAATCCACGTTTATTGGTTCATGAAAAAATGTTTTTATAAAAATCCACGTTTATTGGTTCATAAAAAATATATATTTTTAAAAAATCTACGTTTATTAATTCATAAAAAAAATATTTTTATAAAAATCCACGTTTATTAATTCATAAAAAAAAATATTTTTATAAAAATCCACGTTTATTGATTCAAAAAAAAAATATTTTTATAAAAATCCACGTTTATTGGTCCATGAAAAACATATTTTTTATAAAAACTCAGGCTTATTGGTTCATGAAAAAAATATTTTTATAAAAATTCACGTTCATTGGTTCTTTAAAAAATATTTTTATAAAAATTCACGTTTATTGGTTCTTTAAAAAAATATTTTGATAAAAATCCACGTTTATTGGTTCTTTAAAAAAATATTTTTATAAAAATCCACGTTCATTGATTCTTTAAAACAAATCATTTTATAAAAATCCACGTTTATTGGTTCATGAAAAAAATATTTTTTTAAAAAACCACGTTTTTTGGTTCTTTAAAAAATATTTCTATAAAAATCCACGTTTATTGGTTCTTTAAAACACATATTTTTGTAAAAATCCACGTTTTTTGGTTCTTTAGAAAAAAATATTTTTATAAAAATCCACGTTTATTGGTTCCCGAAAAAAATATTTTTTATAAAAATTGACGTTTATTGGTTCATGAAAAAAATATTTTTAAAAAAATCCACGTTTATTGGTTCATGAAAAAAATATTTTTAAAAAAATCCACGTTTATTGGTCTTTTAAAAATATATTTTTATAGAAATCCACGTTTATTGGTTCTTTAAAAAAATATTTTCATAAAAATCCACGTTTATTAGTTCTTTAAAAAAATATTTTTATAAAAATCCACGTTCATTGGTTCTTTAAAAAAATATTTTTATAAAAATTCACGTTTATTGGTTCATGAAAAAAATATTTTTATAAAAATTCACGTTTATTGTTCAATGAAAACAATATTTTTATAAAAATCCACGTTTTTTGTTCAATGAAAACAATATTTTTATAGAAATCCACGTTTATTGTTCAATGAAAAAAATATTTTTATAAAAATCCACGTTTATTGTTCAATGAAAAAAATGTTTTTAAAAAAATCCACGTTTATTGTTCAATGAAAAAAAATATTTTTATAAAAATCCACGTTTATTGTTCCATGAAAAAAATATTTTTATAAAAATCCACGTTTATTGTTCAATGAAAAAAATATTTTTATAAAATTCCACAGTTATTGGTCCATGAAAAAAATACTTTAATAAAAATCCACGTTTATTTGTCCACGAAAACAAGTATTTTTATAAAAATCCACGTTCATTGATTCTTTGAAAAAAATTATTAAAAATCTACGTTTATTGGTCCACGAAAATAAGTATTTTTATAAAAATCCACGTTTATTATTTCTTTAAAAAATATTTTTATAAAAATCCACGTTTATTGTCTCTTTAAAAAATATTTTTATAAAAATCCACGTTTATTGTTTCTTTAAAAAATATTTTTATAAAATTTTTTTTTTTTGATAAAAATCCACGTTTATTGTCTCTTTAAAAAATATTTTTATAAAAATCCACGTTTATTGTTTCTTTAAAAAATATTTTTATAAAAATCCACGTTTATTGTTTCTTTAAAAAATATTTTTATCAAAATACACGTTTATTGGTTCTTTAAAAAATATTTTTATAAAAATCCACGTTTATTGGTTCTTTAAAAAAAATATTTTTATCAAAATCCACGTTCATTGGTTCTTTAAAAAAATATTTTTATAAAAACTCACGTTTATTGGTTCATGAAAAAAATATTTTTATCAAAATCCACGTTTATTAATTCATGAAGAAAATATTTTTATAAAAATCCACATTTATTGGTTCATGAAAAATTTTTTAATAAAAATCCACGTTTATTGGTCCACGAAAAAAAATATTTTCATAAAAATCCACGTTTATTGGTTTAAGAAAAAAATATTTTTATAAAAATCCACGTTTATTGGTTTAAGAAAAAAATATTTTTATAAAAATCCACGTTTATTGGTTTAAGAAAAAAATATTTTATATAAAAATCCACGTTTATTGGTTTAAGAAAAAATATTTTATATAAAAATCCACGTTTATTGGTTTAAGAAAAAAATATTTTTATAAAAATCCACGTTTATTGGTTTAAGAAAAAAATATTTTTATAAAAATCCACGTTTATTAATTCATAAAAAAAAAATAGTTTTATAAAAATCCACGTTTATTAATTCATGAAAACAAATAGTTGTTTAAAAATCCACATTTATTAATTCATGAAAAAAAATAGTTTTATAAAAATCGACGTTTATTGGTTTATGAAAAAAAATATTTTTATAAAAATCCACGTTTATTGGTCAATGAAAAAAAAATATTTTTATAAAAATCCACATTTATTGGTCAATGAAAAAAAAATATTTTTATAAAAATCCACGTTTATTGGTCAATGAAAAATAATATTTTTATAAAAATCCACGTTTATTGGTCAATGGAAAAAAATATTTTTATAAAAATCCACGTTTATTGGTCAATGAAAAAAAATATTTATTTAAAAATCCAATCTACTTGGTCCGTGAAAAACAATTTTTAAAAAAATCCATTTTTTAGTTAATGAGAAAAAATCTTTTTTTTATAAAAATCCACACTTTTTGGACCATTAAAATTATATATATATTTTAATAAATGTCTAAAATTATTATTTCAATGAGTTACAAATGGAATAACGAACTTGATATACTCTCCATACTATGTATAGTGGAGGGTATAAAAATCCAGAATTATTGGTCGATGAAAAACATATTTTCATAAAAATCCTCATAGGTTCTCCATATCCCTTTTCCTCTTAATTAAAAATCCATTTTATTTTTTTAAAATAAAATTTTTATTTTAATACTGTTTTTTTTTTTTTTCAAATAAAATTAATCAAAATTGGGGATTTGAATATAAAACTTAAGGAACGGAAATTAAGTGCCTGGACTTATGCTGAAACGCATTCTGAAAAACAAAAAGAGAAAAAGAAATAGCGATTAGTAATTCCCAAACTTAAACTCAAATTAGAGCTGGGCGACTTACTGTCCGATTTAGTCCAGCCAATTGGTACATTATTCTTAAGGTTCTCAGCTTCCAACCAGACGCGCAATGGTTCGAAATATTCGGCAATGGCCTTGCCGGTCATGGTGCGTTCACCGTTGAAGGCTTCCAATGCATCGGGCCAGGGTTTGGAGGCACCCAGGGACAACATGTTCCTATAAACGAAAAGTATGGGTTTAGAATAGGTTTTCATTTAAAGAAAATCCTGGAGGAAAACCTACTCGAAAAGTTTGCCAGCTTCCTTGCTGCCATAGATGTCACAGTTGTCCAAAGGATAGGCGGGATTGCCGGGCACATATTCACCAGCTGTAATACAGGCGGACTTGTAGAATTGGAATTGAATGATGAACGAAACCAAATATCTCAAATATTCAACATCGGCAGAGACATGGTATTTGGCGGGGGCATCGAAATCGTGTTCGGTACGAACTACTGGTGGTTCAATACCCGAGTATTCTTCACGCAACTTCCAGAAGGCACAGTTCCAGTCGGATTTTTCAACCTGGCCACGGAACAAGGCCCAACGGTATTTGTCCATGGTGAAGGCGAAGGGCAGGAAGACGATTTTGTCCAAAGCCTAAAGGGAGGAACGATTATTATCTATTCCAAAATTGTTTCCAGTTGCCCCCACTTACAGTCAAGAACAATTGATTGATGCGAGCCTCCTCATCACTGACATAGTTCTTCAAGAGACCAACACGTTCCAAATGCTTGGGTGTGGAGACGGACAAGGAGAGCACATCACCGACAGCTTCATGGAAACCAGGATTGGCACCGGTACGATAGACAAATGGCTGGTGTTGGTATTGCAGGAAATATTGGATGTGACCCAATTCATGGTGGACGGTAAAGAATTGATCCTGGGTGACACGGGTGCACTGCTTGATGCGTACATCATCGACCAAATAGAAATCCCAGGCAGAGGCATGGCACACCAAATCACGGCCATCGCTGGGCTTCTCCAAAATACTCTTGTCCCAGAAATCTCTGAAAAAAATTAAAAAAAAAAGGATAAATTCCGAATCCGAAATTCCTTCTCTTGACAACTTACTGTGGCAACTTCTTCAAACCCATGGACTGGAAGAAACCATCACCCATTTCGAACATTTTCAGGGGGGTATAACCCTGGGCAACCATTTCATCGCTAACATCTACCAATGGCTTGTTGGGGAAGGGCGAAACAATATCGGCAATGCTGGACCATTGTTGGGCCCACATGTTACCCAACAAATGCATGGGCAGGGGACCGGTTTTGGAGACAACCTCATCGCCATAGAATTGATTCAAACGATGGCGCACATAACCATGGATTTGTTCATACAGGGGTTTGATGTCCTCGAAAATGGCTTCCAATTGTTGTTCGAAGGTGTCATCCTCGTATTCATCCAACCACACTTCGGCACCATCAGTGAAATCTAAGAGAGAGAGAGAAATAATGAAAAGAGAGAAATTTCAAAAATCCTATCCCATACTCACTATTCAATTTAGCCGATTTGGTGTTCAATTCAATATATCTCTCAAACGATTTGCGGGTGGGGGTGCCAGCCTTATCATAGAACTGAACCCAATAATGTTTCAACTCCTCAGGATCACGGCTCTTGGTAATGATTTCCTCTACCTCGGGATCCAAAGACAAGTCGCATTTCTCACCATTCTTGTAGTCGCAAACACGGACCTTGGCAAAATTCGATTCCATCGACGAGAGAACATCCAAAAGTTCGGCATAATCTTCTTCGGGCAGGGCAGAGTAACCAGTCTTAGACAAGATTTTGAATTGACGTCTAACATCGGCCGAACCATAGGTACGCCAGTTGAATTTCTGAATATCCTTGGCAACTTCTTTCATGAATTTGGCATTCTCGGCGGAAATCTCATTACGTTTGCGTTCATTCTCATCCGTGATGTTGGAGGCATAGGCCCACGAGGCTTCCGTTTCGACATTGGTGTGCTTGGCCAATTCTTTGTTGATATTCGCCAAATATTCGGTGGCAATAATTTCCTCCTTAACGGCAGCGTGGCAAATCTGAAAACAGGAAAAAAAATGTCAGATTATTTTTTGGACAATAGAGGAGAAAATTCAAAACTTACCGCCAAACCGGCCACAAGGGTGACTAAGAGCAATTTCATTTTTAAACAAGGGGATCTGAAAGGAAATGAAAAAAAAATAAATATTTGAATTTTTTGGATTTCGGATGTAACAAAATTCAGGACTTTTTGACAGATATTGGTCATTTGGTGCACAAATAACTTGAAATCGGTTGAAGATACACTGGTGGCCAAAACTAAAGCAACTGAAATTACAAGGAGAATGAATGCCCTGTAACTTTTTCAAAAATTAAGAAAATGAGAAAGTTTTTCTTGTTTTAAATTAGGTACTTTATTCACTTTTTAAAAACCTAAAACATAAAACCAAAATTCATTTTTATATAAAAAATTATGTTTGGTAAAGTCAATTAACCCGATTTTGGCTTGGACAAAACAAAAGCAACTCTGTTGTACATTCATATAACCGCTGCAATTTCAGTGGTTTTTACTGTGATATTTATCGCTTTTTGCTTCCTTCGACAATTTCGCTTGTCATAAATCCTTTTTGAGAAGTTTTTTACAACAGTATATGTTTTTCTTTTCGTTTTTCAAGTACTGCCAAAAAAAAATTTAAAAATGGCTAGAAACAAATACTGTACCTGAATAAAACAGCAAATTATCAGTGATTATCAAAACAACATATCACAGAAAATGATTTCCGAGAAATATTTCATAAATATTTATGTGATTTCATAATTATGTCTGTGCACTAAGTCGGTTTTTTGAAACTGGATCAGTAGTAACAGTCCATAACGGATGAAGGCCGTGAAGAACTTCAGCCCATACTGATCCACAAATTGTGAGAGAAATAAAAAACAACTATTTAAGAGTTCAACAGGATTGGTGAGAGAGCAATCATTGGATATAAGCTCGAGATCAGTGCGTAGACGAGTAGTGGCAGCTGGTCTGCGTGCCCGTAAGACATCAAAAAACCATTTATATCTGAAAAAATCAAAAAGGCTTTCGGAAACGATAATATTAAGTGGAATCAAGCTCAATGGAAAAAACATTATTTCTGGGATGAGTCTACGTTTAATATTAAAGGCTCAGACGTGAAAAATTTTACGGTGAGAAGACCAAAAAATGAAGGACTCAAGCCGCAGTGTTGCAAAGGTACAGTGAAGCATGGGGGAGGGTCAAAAATGGCGTGGCGCTATTTTTCTTTCTATGGACTTGGGTCTATCCATAAAATAAAGGAAGTTGTGGATCCGTTTGTTTACAAAGATGTGTTGGACATCACGTTGTTCCCTTACGCTGAGTAAAATATTGGGCTGATTTGTGTGTTTCAGCATGACAATGATCCCAAACTTGTATCAAAACTTGTCAAATATTGGTTGCGGGAGTCAAAAATTCATGTTTTGTTATGACCGGCACAATCACCTGACCTAAACTCCTTAGAAAGCCTTTGGAGTATCGTAGATAGGAAGATCAAGAGAGATTCGGAAATAAATAAGCACAACATTTTCTAAAGAACTCGGGGTGCCTGGGAAAGCACACCCAAGGATCAAATTGAGCGTGTTATAGATTCAATGCCTCGTAGGTGTGCAGCTGCTATCAAAAATACTGGTTATGCTATCGACTACTAGCCAAAATTTAATTATTTTAAAATAAAAAATCAAAAGTTGCTTTAGTTTTGACCAAGCAAAAATTGGGTCATTTTAGTTTTCCACATATTATTTTTCGTTCAAACTTATTTTTGTATTTTTATTTTTAGTTTATTGAAAGAGAATTAAACCCCTCATTTAAAACTGGAAAAATAATTACGATTTGTTTATTTTTGTAAAAGTTACAGGACATTTATTGTCTTTGCGATTTAAGTTGCTTTAGTTTTGGCCACCAGTGTATATGTGGGAGCTATATCTAAATCTGAACCAATCTTGATAAAATTTGGTAGAGGTACTTTTGAAGTCCATGAGTTATCTGGTACCAAATATCATAGTTGTCGAATGCATATTACGCATGTGAGGGACTTAAAACACCGAATCGGATGAAACTTATATATGGGAGCTTAAGCTATATCTGAACCGATTTTCCGCAAATTCGATGTACTTCCTTCTAGACTGGATTCGGTTGAATTTAGCAAAATTCAGGTCATTTCGACTTATATTGGCCATTTGGTGTACAATTAACCCGAAATCGGACGAAGATATATATGAGAGCTATATTCAAAACTGAACCCATCTTGATAAAATTTGGCAGAGGTATTTTCGAGCAGTATTTGATGCCTGGTACCAAATATCATAGTTGTTGCCGTATGCATATTACGCAAGTGAGGGACTGAAAACCCCAAATCGGATGAAACTTATATATGGGAGCTATAGCTATATCTGAACCGATTCTCTCCAAATTTGATGTACTTGCTTCTAGACTAAATTCGGTGGGATGTACCAAAATTCAGGTCATTTAGACTGATATTGGCCATTTGGTGCATAATTAACCCGAAATCGGACGAAGATATATATGGGAGGTATATCCAAATTTTAACCGAACTTGATAAAATTTCCCAAATCGGATGAAACTTATATATGGGAGCTATAGCTATATCTTAACCGATTTTCACCAAATTTTATGTACTTGCTTCTAGACAGAATTCGGTTGGATGTACCAAAATTTAGGTCATTCGGACTGATATTGGCCATTTGGTGCACATTTAACTCAAAATCGGACGAAGATATATATGGGAGCTGCATCTAAATTTTAACCGATTTTAATAATTTTGCAGAGGTATTATTGGCCTCTATCTGATATCTGGTGCCAAATATCATTGCTGTCGAATGTGTATTACGCATGTGAGGAACCTAAAACCTCAAATCGGATGAAACTTATAAATGGGAGCTATAGCTATATCTGAACCGATTTTCACCAAATTTGATGTACTTGATTTTAGACTGAATTCGGTAGGATGTACCAAAATTCAGGTCATTTGGACTGATATTGGCCATTTGGTGCACAATTAACCCGAAATCGGACGAAGATATATATGGGAGCTATATCTAATTTTTAACCGATCTTGATAAAATTTGGTAGAGGTATTTTTGAGGTCCATGAGTTATCTGGCACCAAATATCATTATTGTCGAATGTATATTACGCCTGTGAGGAACCTAAACCCCAAATCGGATGAAACATATATATAGGAGCTATAGCTAAATCTGAACCGATTTTCACCAAATTTGATGTACTTGTTTCTAGACCGAATTCGGTCGGATGTGCCAAAATTCAGGCCATTCGGACTGATATTGGCCATTTGGTGCAAAATATACCCAAAATCGGTTGGAGATATATGTGGGAGCTATATCCAAATCTGAACCGATCTTGATAAAATGTGGCAGACGCATTTTCGAGCAGTATCTGATGTCTGGTACCAAATATCATTGTTGTCGAATGCATATTACGTAAATGAGGAACTTACAGACCAAATCGGATGAAACTTATATAAGGGAGCCTAAGCTATATCTGGCCCGATTTTCACCAAATTTGATGTACTTGCTTCTAGACTGAATTCGGTCGGATGTGCCAAAATTCAGGTCATTTCGACTTATATTGGCCATTTGGTGTACAATTAACCCGAAATCGGACAAAGATATATATGGGAGCTATATCTAAATTTTAACCGATCTTGATAAAATTTGGCAGAGGTATTTTCGAGCAGTATCTGATGTTTGGTACCAAATATCATTGTTGTCGAATGCATATTACGCCTTTGAGGGACTTACAGACCCCAAATCGGATGAAACTTATATAAGGGAGCCTGAGCTATATCTGACCCGATTTTTACCAAATTTGATGTACTTGCTTCTAGACCGAATTCAGTTGGGTGTGCCAAAATTCAGGCCATTTGAACGGATATTGGCCATTTGGTGCACAATTAACCCGAAATCTGACGAAGATATGTGTGGGAGCTATATCCAAATCTGAACCGATCTTGACAAAATTTGGCAGAGGTATTTTTGAGGTCCATGAGTTATCTGGTACCAAATATCATTCTTGTGGGGTGCATATTACTTATGTGAAGGACTAAAAACCCCAAATCGGATGAAACTTATATATGGGAGCTATAGCTATATCTGAACCGATTTTCACCAAATTTGATGTACTTGCTTCCAGACCGAATTCGGTTGGATGTGTCAAAATTCAGGCCATTTGAACTGATATTGGGCATTTGGTGCACAAATAACACGAAATCGGTCGATGATATATGTGGGAGCTATATCCAAATTTCAACCGATTCTCACCAATTTCAAAAGGGTTCATCCTTAGGCCAAACAAATATTTTTTGGAAAATTTCATCTCAATCGGATAATAAATGCAACCTGCATTTTGTTTACTGACATGCATGAATCGCCTCAGAAAGTGATTCTCTGAAGATCCTCAAAAGTAACTATGGGCTGTCTCGCTTCCTACTCCATGTTACAAACATGCTCATACACAAAGACATAATACCCTTACCACCATGTGGTGTAGGGTATAAACATTTCAAAACTGGTAGATTCTTACCGGTTCTGGAACTGAGCAAAAGTGGTTGAAAATTTACAACCTGAACTTTGAAATTTCTTAATCGCAACAAGCGTGCCAAACTTTCTCCCTTCCCCCTTTGATTACTAAAAAAAAGGAAAAGTGATCTTTATTGATTTACAAGACCCAAAATGTTCCGTCAATATTTTCTTTTTTTTTTTTCAATTTTCGATTAGATCTGAAATTGATTATTTCTGGTTAATTCCAGAATGCCATAAATCTTGGTAATCTATGACAAAATTACGCTTCCACGCCCCATTTATCGCGATCATTTAATTAAGTAATCTTATCTTAGAAGTGTGGGGAAAACTTGCTACCTACCATAAACAAATAACTACTGCATGGATAATGCTGTCGATTTATGACCATTTTGGAAAAATCACAACAACAATAATAAATATTTTAAATCAATGCCGGTGGGTTTTTATCTATTTTGCAAAAATTTATTGCAATCTTTGCAGAATTGATAACAAATTTCCTGGGAATTAAATTTGGCAAGTAATGGGAGAAATTTACGAAGGTCTTAGGTTCATAAGTCCTCCAA